ATCATGATCCTCTAAAGTCACTTCTAGTACCAAAGTCTGTATCAGCCAGGGTTCAAACAAACAGAGCCAGTAGGAGATATATATTAAAGGATTTACTGCAAGGAATCAGCCTACATGATTGTGGGGACTGGAGTGCTGTCAGGAAGGGCAGGTTGGACTTGGGCACGAACTGAAGCTGCTGTCCACAGGCAGAAGTTCTTCTTCTTTCAGAGAAGCCTCAGTTCTGCTCTTAAGGACTTTGAATGGATCGAAGCAGGCCCATACCGAATATCTAGGGTAACCTCCTTTACTTGAAATCAGCTGTTCACCTTCCCCCTAATGATGCCATGAAGAAGACCCAGAATGTGCATTTTCTACCACTCAGCTGTGTCTAACATAGACCCCTGCAAAGCATAGGACCTGATCACGAACTGCCTTTTCTGGAAGCATTTCTACAAGTTGCTGAGCCAATTCATTCTGGGAACATTGTTCTGGGGAGCTGGCTGGAGCTAGAGAAGCAGGAGAAGGAAACTGGCTTGGCCGGGCCTTTACAAACAGCCCTTGTCCAAGTGGCTCCTATTCCAGGAGCTCGATATTGAGACTCAGCATCTGCTGTGCAGACAGTGCCTGTTTAATATCCCTGCAGCCAACAGGGAAGGTGCTATGATACCCAGTTTATAAATGAGGCTCAGAGAAGGTTATTTAATCAAGGTCACACAGTAAGTGACTAACCAAGCCGTTGAACTCCAAATCCACCCTCCTTCCATTGTACTGGAGCCCATGACCTCCGATCCAAAGATCCCAAAGAGCCCAATGCCTTTGTACTATTGGGAACAGTGGTAGTAGGAGACCTCAGAAGATAGGGGGTGAGGACTGCTCTCAGTCCATGTGTGTTGGTGAGTTTATTCAATGAGAGTCCCACATTCATGGGGCTGCAAAAATTGGCTTAGACATGGGCATGTGACTCAAAATAGGCCAATCAGAGTTAGTCCTGGGACTTTTGCTGAAACCATTGAGAAAAAGATGCTCTCTTTCTCTTGAGACTCTGTGAAGTAGATAGAATGTTAGCTTGAAGCTCCTAATGGCAGCCTGCCATTCCATAGGGAAGAAACTACTTGCTACTGCAGTCAAGCCAGGGAAAAGCAGATCCAAGACATGGAGAGAGATTAATTTCTGAGAATCTCCTTCGAGGATCTGGATTCGGCCATGCCTCTGTAGGCCTTGATTAACACACCACGTGGACACACAGCACATCACCTTTTTAGTTGCCCTTCTGCTCGTGAACTAAAGCCTGCTTCCCTGGAACATACTTACTAGTTCTAGCTCTACCAATCCAAAGGGGAGCAGAAGGCTCTAAAGGCAAATAAATGTGGTTTCAAATCCCAATTCTGGCATTTCCTCTTCAAATCTCAACTTAAAATTGGAAGAACACCTACATTAGAGGGATGTTGTAAGGATGAAAGACATCACAAGTGGTTTGTTTTAGTTATTTTGTCATATTGCCCCTGTCACAGTCATTATCTGATCGTGAGCCCCCAGGCAGCAGACACCTTGTTTTATTCCACTGAGCTTCCCCAGTACCTGAAAATAGTTGGCACAGAGTAGTTTCTCAATAAATGCTGGCTGAAATAAGCTCCACCAGAGGGATCTACTTGGGACAGCTGTGATATTCCAAATCTTCTGCTCTTATCCCTGTCCTCATCCTCACCATGCCTTTATATAACACGGATGGTTTTCCTTACTAAAAAAAATTATTTTGTGAATATTTATCAGTTAGAAACAAAAGAATGAAAATAAGCTACCACAGTACCAAAAATCCAGATGTTTGGGGTTAATTTTCTAACACAATACTCAACTATTTTACTTATTTCATATTTTTCTTAAGAAACAAAACAAAAGCAAACTGCCCTGCAATTTGGACACTAGATCCTTTTCTCACAGTGTCCCTTGCCGTTTGCTGGGAGTGGTGTGGGCACGCTTGGCAGTCACGATGGGCTGCTGACATGGGACAAGTGGGGAATGGGAAGCAGCTGCTTGGCCCACGCTGTCTCCTAAGCCCCAAATTGGTGACGAGGTGTCACAGACAAAAGACAGGCAGTTATGGTTTGGGCGGAGGCTCCACAAGCAGCAGTGAACTCCTCTTGCCAAGTTCACCCAGCAAAGCAGAGTCCGCCTGGCTGGCCACAGCGTGCTGGGCAGCCTCTGACCTTAGAAGCAGTGTGCACCCAGAAGGATGGGCCCATCAGTCCGAGCCACCATCTCCCTCTGTCTGATGGAGGAGGGGGACATCAGCCACAGGCATTGATGCAAAGGAGCAACCTCATCTTCATCTCTTGTCCTACAGTGGCCTTGTAGCTCCATGTCATGATGCCACCCCACATAGCAGTCAGAGTCAGTCACCTTCTGAAAATACAAACTAGATCAGGTATCAACAAACTTTCCTGCACAAGGCCAGAAAGACAGAAAGTATTTTAGGCTTTGTGGGCCAGCTGGTTTCTGTCACAACTACAGCTCTTCCTTGTAGTGTGAAAGCAGCCACAGATAACATGTGACTGAATGGCTGAGACCGTGTTCCAATAAAACTTTATTTACACAGGCAGGAGGTGGGCTGGCATAACCTATTGGCTATAGTTTGCCACCTCTGCATTCCATCATTCAACCCTCTGTTATGGCTCCTCATCCCCTCAGAGGAAAACCCAGCTCCTAACTGGGGGCTTCAAGGAGCTGCCTAGCTTGGTCCCTGACGACCTCTCTCCCTAGATCCCACTGCCTGGTCACAAGCCAAGCTCATTCTTGCCTCAAGGCTTTTGCACTCATGGTTTCCTCTACCTGCAACACCCCCCACACCATCCCCACTCCACATTTTCATATGACTCGCACAGTCCCAGTATTAGGTCTCAGCACAAATACCATTTCTTCAGAAAGGCCATCCCTTCAGCCCTCTGAAGTGAATGTCACCTCCCCTCCATTCCCTTTTATCACTGCACCTTGTTCAAGTTCTGCACAGCACTCATCACACTTTGAAACGATCTCTTCTAGAGTCGTTTACTTTTTTATTGTCCTTCTCATCCCTAAGCTCCGGGAGGGTAGGGAGCCTCTCCAAATAGGGAATATTTGGAGAATGAATGAATACTCAAGTGGATGGAGACCTCAGTAGCCTCCTAACTGGTCTCCCTCATACCCTCCCTCCCTCGATTTCATCACTCACGCTGCGGACAGAGCTATCTTCTAAAAATGGTTGTCAGATCACGGCCTGTCTGCATCAAACTCTGTAATAACTTCCCATTGCTCTTAGAGTAAAACTTAAACTTTGCACCATCACCCCAGAGACTCTGCAGAGAGGGCTTCTTGGCTGTCTCTCCCAGCCCATCTCTCCCATTCCAAAGAGGAGGCTGCCTGTAGGGTCCACCGATGTGACCCCAAAGGGCGCCACTTGGCGCTAAAGGTGTTTTTGCATTGATATCAGAAAACGGGTTAGGTTCCAGGAATTCTCTCTGAATAAAAGAATGAGGCCATGAACACCTGACTCATGAGAGGCTGGGAAGTCATCCAGTTTCCTCATCTCACCCCACCCAGGTCAGGCTCTCTCCTGTGACATGCTCGGGTAGAAACAGAACGCGCACGATCTTTCAGACTGATGCCAAAGCCCAACAGGGCTCGCGCCTTTGGGAGGGTGGGGTCATGAAATGGAAAGCTTTAAGTGCTTTTTCTGGCCTGACTCAAAACTACATGCAAATCAAAGTGAAAAAGAGAGGGGTGGGGCTGGTAACAGAATAAGTATTCAGACTTGTGGACTCCTTATGAAACCATGTAGTTTATACTGTTTTCTCTGAAGTTGAAATTCCATTTGGAGAAGTTCTACAGCAGAGATGATATCATGTGGATAGCCCACAAGGGTCTGCTCGCGCTCATTGCTTGGGCTATACTGAGGTGAAAGATTAGGAAGTTGCCACCTCATGGCTTCTTCTCAAATAGGCCTGGAGAGTAACATCAAAGTGGCCAAAAGCAGTACCAATTTTCTAAGTGACATTGCACAAAGTATGTAATCCAAGTTATAAGAATATCTGTATTTTTTTCATGAGAGTTAAATTAACAAAGGCATTTCATTTTAGGTGGTGGTAAATATGGCCCATTAGCCTTTCTGTTTTTTCTGAACTGGACTTCCTAAAAGATGATTGCTACTGTTCTGCAGTGCAGTGTTATCAGCAAGGCACAATGTACACCCCACTTCTGGTCATTTTTAAATCTAGGCCAATGCACCTGACATCATACCCTTTCCAGTTTATAAGTGACCACTTAGAACCACTGTCCTCCAATTCTAGTTGACCTTGACTTGTTTTCACTTTACCCCATTCTCTTATTGTGAATTCTTGCTTCCCACCCTGAATTTCTTGCTCTTTCTATCTCTGGATTTTTGCCCTTTCCTGACACCTGGATCCTGGCTCTCCTTCTAGAAGTTTAGTCCAACTTGCTTATACCACCTCCCCTCCATTCCACCATCTCCTGGGGCCCCAACAGTTGCCCAGACAGATACACCTTGACCCCGAGCCCTTAAGCACAGAAGAGGACATCATGCTAGGTTACAATGACATTGTGAAGAACAGGACAGACACGATCCACCCGTCACTGCACTTGCTACTTTCTTTCTTCCTTTCTTGAAATGAGACAGAGTCTTGCTTGGTCACCCAGGTAGGAGTACAGTGGTGCAATCTCGACTCACTGCAACTTTTGCCTCCCAGGTTCAAGCGATTCTTGTGTCTCAGCCTCTTGAGTAGCTGAGATTATAGGCACACACCACCACACCCAGCCAAGTTTTTGTGTTTTTAGTAGAGACAGGTTTTTGCCATGTTGCCCAGGCTGGTCTTGAACTCCTGAGCTCAGAGAATCTGCTTGCCTCGGCATCCAAAAGTGCTGGGATTACAGGCATGAGCGACTGCACCCAGCCCATCAGTGTACGTTCAACCTCGTCTACAACATTCCAGCCATTGTTCCTCCTCTTCTACCAGTACACCTCCAAGGACAGGAAACTTACAATTTCCTGGGACTGTCCTTTTCACTTTCTGACAACTTTATCAGAAAGCTCCAGCTGTCAACGAGCTCTCGAGCCCTGGAGTAATCTGTTTCCTGTAGGGTGCTGACGGTGTGGTGTGAACTCCAAGGCAGCTGTCAACATACATTTGCCTATCGCTGGCTGCAACTCACGCTGGAGCATGCGACATAAGTTAATCACTTCCACTTCTCACCAGCATGGCTCCTTGTCCTTTTTCTGCCTCTGGCCATTCATGCTCAGCAGACAACTGATAGCCAGGGCACTGACTGGAACATGGGCAGGATTCCGGGCCGGCCAGATATAGCCCATTATCGCTGCAGCTACAGTGTACAAGCTCATTGAGAAGTCAGGGAACACTTTATCAATGAGGAGGCTGTCCTAGAAACTCTGGTGTTGGGTTTCATGTGAAGTGATGGAGGTGAAGAGAAAGGCTCCTGAGATAGCAGGACCTGCTTATCTGAAATGTTTGCCCCAGTGAGGTCAAAGTGCCACAGCCAACTCATCATTTTATGGAAATGAATCATAGAATGTCAGAGCTGGAAGACTTTGGAGGCTTCACAGAAGGAGAAATTGAGGCCCAACGAGAGTACCTGGCTTGACCAAGGTCATATGGGGAATCCATCTAAGAGACTCAGGTTTCCTACAAGAAAAGGAAGGGCCCTGCTGCCTTTGCAAGCTGAATCAGGCTTTGAGAAGCAAGAGAAGGGTTTTTGAAGGTCTTCATGCTTTGCATATTTGCTTTGAAAACATACAAAAAGGTCAGTAAGGAGTCAGGAATGAGCTGTTTCCTCAGAATCCCAGTTCACAACTCTCGTTACTAGATGACGTCTTGAACATATTCCTGAAATCCATGTGGAAGTAAATATAAATCCACTTACTTGTTGGTTTGATCTACAAATATTTATTGAGCAGAGTCTCATTAATTACTTTAGAGGGCCTGTTCCCAGCTCAGGGGCTGCAGTGGTAAGCTGGGCACACACTTCTCAGTTTCATAGAACTCAGGTTCTAGCCAGGGAGATGGGCAATAAACAAACAAATAAGTGAATATAGAAAATGAGATGGGGGTAGGTGCTGTGAAATTTTAAAATGCAGATTAAGGGCATAGGAAACTCTAGGGACATGGAGTTACCACTGATAATAGGGCAGCCAAGGAAGATATTATGGAGCCGCTGATATTTGAGCAGATCTCTGAAGAAATGAGGGAGCAAGTCTTGGGGCCATCTGCAAAAAGTACTGCAGGCAGGAAAAGCAACAGCGCAAAGACCCTGGGGCAGCAGTGAGCTTGTCATGTTTAAGGAACATCAGGGAAACCAGGGGAGCTGGAGCCAAGGGCGCGAGAAGGAGAGGGGTCAGAAATGAGGGCAAAGGGTAGAGAGTCGGCTGGGGGCAGATCAGGTCGGGCCTTGTGCACCACTGTTGGGACTTTGGATTTGTTCTGAGTAGATGGGAGTCACTGAAATCTTTTTAGCCAAGAAACGATATGACCTGACTCTCTTTTTCAAAGGTTGCTCAGGCAGCAGTGTTGAGAAAGAGCTGTAGGAAGGTAAGGGCAGAAACAGGAAGACCACTCCTGACAATGATGATGGATTGGACATGGGGAGGAGTCAAGGGAACACAAAGGGTTTTGGCTTGAGCTCGTGGACAGACAGAGTTATCTTTTACTGAGGTGGGGAATATAGCAGGAGGATCAGGGCGGAGTGAGAAGATCAGGAGTTTGCTTTGGGTCATGCGGAATTTGACTATCTACAGCCTCTAAGGGGAGGTTGCAGGCAGGAGCTGAATATACAGTCAGCTGAATATAGAGGTCAAGCTAGTAATTCTGATTTGGGAGTTGTTGACTTAGAGGAGGCATTTAAAACCTGTATGAGTCAGGATGACATCAGCTAAGGAGTGATTGTGGTCAGAGAAACAGAGACAAAGGTCTGAACCTGGGACCTTCCACCATTCAGAGGTCGAGGCAGTCAGGAGACACCAGCAAAGGGGGCTGGGAAGGAGTGGCTGGCGAGGAAGGAGAAGCAGAGGAATGGTCTGCAAGGGGAAGAAAGGGCTTCAGGAAAGTGGGGCCCATAGCTGTGTCTACTGCTGACGGGCCAAGAGAGAATGAGGAGTGGCCATGGACCCTGGGATGTACCACTTGGAGGTGCGTAGCCGGCCTTGACAAAACGTTTTGGTGGTGTAGTGGGTACAAAAGCCTGATTTTGTGACTGAGATGAGAGCAATGGGAGACAGGGACATGAACGATTCTTTTGAAAACTTTTATTATCAAGTGCAGCGGGGAAATGAGGACTGAGGTGGAGGGGGCTGTGGGGTCAGGCGGGAAAACAGCCCTCAAAGTTTCTGAAAGTGCTCACCCTCTCACACCTCATGTTTCCATCAGCCAGGGCTCTGTGGGCTCCTGGCCAGGTCCCCTCTTGCCCTCCCTCCTTCTTATTTTCACTGTGCCCTCCATCTACCTTGGAGAACTCCAGGGCCCATCTCAGCATTTCTAAGTTTAGTTGGGAGAAAGATATTAATCAGATAAACACACCAGTAAATATATGAAGGGTACTTAGTATAAGCATAACATGGAAAAGCAGAGTGTCCTCTGAAGGAGAATCAGAGGGAAATGGTTGATACGAGGGGGCTTGGAGGAGATTGTTTCAAGGAAACGACTTGAAAGCTAAAACCTGAAGGATGTGTAATAATTCACCAAATGACAAATGATGGGGAGGGTGTTTTTGGTGGAAGAGCATGTGTGCAAGCCAAGGCTCCGAGGTGGGCCGGAGCACAGCATGTTATAAAACGAGAAGCAGCGAGGACAGGATTGGAGGCTGCGCTCACATACTACGGGGTTCGGCAGGCTGTGTTAGGGAGGCTTTTGTTGTTGTTATTCATTCCAAGTACAATGGGCAGCAATTCAGTGAGCGAATTGTTCTGCCTGTCAAAATGCCCCATTTCTATGCTTGAAGGGGAAGGAAAACAGTCAGAAGCAAGACACTAGCTTTCCTCGAGGGAAGGAGGAGAGACGTGTGCATCTTATTCTGGGCTTCCCATGAAGCAGACCTTCAGTCATGGATTTGAATGAAAGCACTTTACTTCATGCCGAACAGTACTGTAGGGAAACCCAGGAAGCAATTGTTAACACACGAGCTGCCCCTGTCAGCACGTGAAGCCAGTGGTGGACACAGTGATACCCTGGCGTCCTCCGTGACATCTTATCTGAGGTTGGGCTGGTCGAGGACTGCAGTTGGGGATGTGGCAATGGTACTCTGGCACCTCTAGGCTGCCATGCCTGTGGTTAGAGCAGGCTCCAGCAGCCAGAGGAAGCCCTTGGCAAAGAGATGTATGTGTTGGCAGATGGAAGTCAGGCTAGCTTGCGCGGGAATGCTGAGACCTGGGGGATACTGCTTTCCCATATTAATCCCACTCCCTCCTGCTACTGCTTCTTTTAGGATGTTGCCTGTCACGATTTCTACAAAGAAGTTAAGAAAGAGGGTTCGTGAAACAAGCTATAGACCCCATCATTACCATGGACTCTAAGGTCATAATTGGTGTTCATTGTCTCTGTGTGTCACCACTCATTCTGGATAGCCCTCATACTTGACCACTCCTGCATATTGAGCGTGCTGGTCTGCGGGGGTAACTGGGTCTTCATCCCTAGAGGTTTGAACCCCTGGTCGCTGTGCACTGGGAAGACTGTCGTTGCTGCAATTGCCCATAATTGCTGTCACTGGGCTGGGAAACACCGAGATGAGCCCCACTGAATCCCCTGAGCTCTGGGCATCCTTTTCTCTGACCCCGTTATCTAGCAGCAGTGCTACTTCCGCATGATAGGCAGAACCTGACATTCCTACAAGTGCAAGCATTCCTTTCTTTGCCTACTGCTCTGTTGGCATGAAGAGCCTAAAACAACAAGGAGCTGCTACAGCTTTAGGCATCCCTGGGATAAGTGTCTCCTCCCCATCGATGCCCAGGTATGCTAAGGGACCAGCATTACTGGTCCAGTGGAGCCTAAAGTTAAAGGCATTCTTGAGGCGAGCCACTGGGCATGATGGTGACGGGGCCACTTCTGTTTACACTGCTTGTTTCCCATGTAATCTATCTGACGGGCCCCAGCTCCATAGAATGCCTGCTGTTTTGAAGCATGTATTGCATCTCAAAAGTCAGCACCCTAAAAATGAAAATGGCAGAATAGGGAATTACAAAAGCCCATCCCTCCACAAAAGGAGAAAATAAACTGGCAAAGGTGGTCAGAATCAACTTGATTGGAAATTGGAAAACTAACTAGAAGTTTACAGCAACCAGGAGAATATTTAATCAAGGAAAAAACACAAAACAAAAAACCACCAGAATCTTGATAATAGAGCTTCATGGTATTTAAATTACCCTGGCTCAGCAGTGGCCTTGAAGATAGCAACTCATATTCATTATATAGGCTCCTAGTACATAAGGGAGCAGACTAGACCTAATTTCCAAATAACTGTGGTTGTTTGTTTTGACCTGTCTTGTGGCTCCCTAAAGAATTGACTCATTGCTGAGATCTCCAAGGGCTAAGGCAGCTACTCAAGGGGAATTTGTTGAAAACATTAAAAGGCAGATGTAACAGCTGCTGCCACTTGGAGCAATAGATAACAGTCGGGACAAACTATAGAAAAACCAAAAGGGTTGGAAAAAAAGAATGGGGATTAAAACACATTGGGAAATAAAGGCTTTGAAGAGCTCTCATATATTTGTGGGAACCTAGAAGCCCACTTGCATGCCCAGAGCTGGGTGCATGCTTAGGAAAGAACTGAGAAGTTTTCACTTCTGCTTGACCTCAAGGCTCTCCACAAGGAGGAGGTGAAGACTAAGGCAGAGTTGTGAAGTGCCTCACCAAGAATTGAAGGTATACCCCAGCATATACATAGAGTCCATTTGCAAACACCGAGAGATTTTATTTTCTTTTTTGGTTCCAGGCAAAGAATACATGTTTGTATTTAAATTGCCAGCTGACTACTAGGCTAACAAAATGAAGACTTCAGTGGCTATATACAACAACAAATAAAGTCTTTACAAAACTAATGAAGGAAAGAGAACTAAGCAATCAAACAACAGCAATTACAATAAGCAGCTGCAATAAACTCTGGTGGGAGGGAGATGATTTCCAGATGTGCCATATAATAATATTCAAACTGTTCAGCTTTCAACAAAAAATTATGAGTCATGCAATGAAACAAGAAAGTGTGGCCCATACACAGGAAATAAAGAAATAATAGAAACAGTTCTTGAGGAAGACAAGTCATTGAACTTACTAAACAGACTACAAACCAACTATTTAAAATATACCCAAAGAGCTAAAGGAAACTATGTACAAAAAACCAAAGGAAATCATGAGAATGATATTCCAAAAACATAGAGACCACCAATGAGAAGATAGAAATTGTTAAGGGG